TGAGAACAGTCATTCTGGCTTATGTTGCCAGGCACACGGAAGGTGCTGTAATCAAGAGATCATTTAAGTTACGGCAGGAGTGGTTTCAATGCCCATGGCACTTCAAAAACCCAGGGTCAAAGTTAATGCAGATCTGCTTCCCTTGCTCTGCACTGCTAGTTTTGACAGCACAAAAATTCAGTCGTAGTGAACAACTGCTTGTGACCACGGAGTTTCCATGGAAGCCTGACAGAAAATTCAGAATGGCCATTTCAGTATGGGGCTGAGGGAGAAAAGGTAGTGGTTTCAATGCCCATGGCACTTCAAAAACCCAGGGTCAAAGTTAATGCAGATCTGCTTCCCTTGCTCTGCACTGCTAGTTTTGACAGCACAAAAATTCAGTCGTAGTGAACAACTGCTTGTGACCACGGAGTTTCCATGGAAGCCTGACAGAAAATTCAGAATGGCCATTTCAGTATGGGGCTGAGGGAGAAAAGGTACAAGCTGTGCTTGCACCATCTGAGGGGAAAAGAAACAGGTCTAACTTTGAGAGATCACATTTTCCCCTTCTTTCAAAAGCGGGGCTTGTTTACCATTTTGCTCTTAATACATTTTAAAAAAAGGTCTGAAAAGGAGTGCTGAAAGCTCTTCAGTTCTGCACTCTCCTAACTGACTGTGGGGAGTTTAAGAGAACACCTGTTAGGACTCTTCCCAGACAGTCTAGAGCTCTTACCATCTCTTTCTACCAAGGTGAAGGGTTCACTGTCCCAGCCATCTTCCATGGCTGCAGGTTGTACATCCAAATGCCCATACACACAAACTGTTTTCTTTTTTGGATCACAGCCGATTTGGCCAAGAATAATTGGAGGTAGTGGAATTTCTGACCCATCAGGGAGCTGGAAATAAGAGGAATTTCATTACAGGAAGTTTTAATGGATGAACAGGTAAAGTACTTACAAGCACAGTTTTTAGATCCATAACTGGTTTTGCAGAATAGTTGAATGTCAAAGCATACACATTTGGCTTTGTTTAAAACTATCATTTTAGTAGTTTTCACTGTCTCCTCCCCCTCCAAGTTTTTGACAAGCCAAGAACTGCTGTACTGGGCAGGTTGAGAGAGAATCAGAGATTTTACAAGCCACGTGCAAGTAGCAAGACACTGATGTGGATGAACATCTACTTCATATTAGGGACGTGCACATATACCTGGAGTACATGGTTCATGTTCCTGGTGCCCTCTGTTTCATAGGCAGCAGCGTGTGTGCGCGTGTGTGTGTTGGGGGGGAACTGGTTCCCCCACGCATGCTGGCTCCTGCAGATCCATCTACACCCCCTCTAAATTCCCACAGAGGCAGCAGTGGGAGTGTGTGTATGGGGGAGGAGGGGGAAGCTGGGAGCCGGTACTTGCTCTCCCCCACATGTAAACATGTAACTACTGATTTTTTTCAGTTACAGCGTTTTACACAAACATTTTAACATCCCTACTTTATATTAACATTCTTGCCTATGATTTTAAGGGAAAAGGCTCATCCAGATGTAAGGTAAGCTATTTAAACAAGATGTGGCACCTAATGTTTGACAGATTCTACATTGAAATTCTATTCTGGCCCTCTTCACATGAGGACTTCTTACACTAGTAAGTTTCATGCTTGGCTCAATCTGGTGTACACGTAGTATACACTACTTATTAGTTATGTTTATTAGTCATGTTTCTCCCATGCCAAAGGCCTTGGTAGACTCACCTTGTGTGTTTGCCAAGGGAGCCAAAAAAGTTACAAGACCTCTAAGTACACCTGAGCCAAACCACTGCAACGGGCCACTAAACATCCCAAAGTCTAGCTGGCCCATGTACATTGACTCATCATACCACATATAACCTTGCCAAGGGACAGTTGCAATCTTTTTCCCAGCATGATAGATGTGGAAACAGATGGTGACGTATCAACTGTGAATCAAAGTCACCATGTGGCTGCAACTCAAATTAATACTATTTTAAGGCAGGTAAACTGCATCAAAAGCAGTTACAGAAACAGGGGGTAGGAGGAAAGAGGAAAGCTGTACACATAGCACAGGCAGAGCCCAAGAACACATCTGCTGAAATTCCAGATTTGGCAACATTCCATGTGTTTACTGTGCCACACAAAATAAGATGATTTTAGATTTATAGGGAATCAACACTTATTTGAGGATCTCTTAAAATACTAGTATGGGGTTTAAATGCACTTCAACAGATAATGGAGTACAGCAGCCTGAAGTTAAGTTCACTGGATAAAATTCCAGTCAATTTAAAACTTAGTAAACCCTTCAGGTGAGCAGATTTGAGAGATGGGGGAGGAAGGAGTAAGAAATTTAAAATAATTGCTTTGAATCACCAAGAAATTCACAACACATGCATCACTTTTAGTACAGTCACCACACCCTTCATTTGGCTGGAATTAGCCAATAGTAGACCTCTGAAGCTAAGGTGTATTTCTTCAGTTATTTTCTATACTGTTTACGTGTAATAAAAATCATGAGGCAAGAGCCAGTGCTATTTAGAGAAACAAGTTTAGAGAGTCACATTCTTTAAAGGAACTTGATCATTTGGAAGGCCTCCATTAACAAATATTTAAGTTTTGATTAGTCATCTTGTTACCCAGAATAAGATGCAACACCCTTCAGCCATGTCTACATTCAAGCCCATATGCAGGAAGTTCTGTGTGTGAGGGATGTATGTGCTTGTGTAAATGTGGACCACAATTTTTTAAATTGCTCACTGTCCTTGCCATCTTGTAGAGTCAGAGCATGGATGAGGGAGGCTTGGGCACACGCCGCCCCAGTTTTCCCCTGGCCAGCCAGAATCAGCCCCAGCCTCACACTTACTTGGGGGACCACAGGAAGTGGTAAGGGAGGGGTGTTCACACCCACTGCACCCCTTCTCCTCGCCTCTGGTGGGGGTGGGTGGACGCTGCAGCTGCTTTGATCTCTGTAGTCAATGTTCCAGGGTTCAAATTAGCAGGTTTAGTGAAGACACACTAATTCGAACTGAGAAGGTGCTCCCGCTGGCACTGATAGTCCTGCTTCTACGAGGAAGCAAGGAAGTCGAAGGGAGAGTGCCCCTTCCAACTTCCCAGTGCTGACAGTGCCAAAATTCCATTTAAGATTACTGCAACCTAAGCTATGCAATTATATAGCTGAAGTCAATGTATCTTAATTCAAACTTATCCCTTAGTGTAGATCAGGACTTACAGTACTAGATTTTAGTTTTTTTTTGGGGGGGGGGGGGCAGGGGGGTTGGTAATCTAAAGCAAGGATCATTCTTTAGACCAGGGATCATACGGCCTATGGGTTCTGACAGGTTTGGGGGAGGAGGGAAGAAGTGACTCTGTACACTGCCATTTTCCCCCCTCTTCTGGCTGGGAGGAACAGCAGGGCAGGGAAGCCCTGACCCCGCACTTTCTTGTAGGCTCCATCCCCATTGCTTCCATTGGCCCAGGAACTGCAGCCAATAGGAGTGGCTGGGAATGGTGCCTGCATGTACAGGGCAGTGCTGAACCATCCCACGCCCTCCCACCTGCAAACTGTAGCTGTTAGGCAACCCAATCCTTTTCTCCCTCCTCCACACCCTCCCTCCCTGATTGCACGGGCTGAAGCTTGAGGTGAATGATGTGTCTCTCCCCCCCTCTCATTTGGAGGCCAAGTCAGTGAAGTTTCAAAACGAAAACAAAATGAACCACACACCTCTTTACTTGTGTGGCTCCTGACCCGCCCCCCAAAAAGTTGCCTATTCCTGCTTTAGTCTATATACACAAAGGAAGAGTAATTGATAAGAGATGCTGTGTGATCAAAGCAGCTATTGTTCTGTTGGAACTATCTGTTCAGTGCCAAAAACATAGGCATGTTGTCCTGTAACTAAAATAAGTGCTTTTAACTTTTAATCAAGGAAGTCACATGCACTGCCAATATAGGGGGAAAAAATACCAGGAAAACAGTACAGCAGAGTGTGTGTAACTGCAGTTTACAAGTTGAGCATTAGAAATAATGTCCAGCCCTGCCAGGAATAGGTGTAACTTACTATAAGTTATAGGTTGTGAGGGAAGAGAAAATTTAAAACCAGAAGATCCAGTTAGTATGAGAAACTATTACAAAAGCATCTCTTAGTCAACTATGGGAGAAGCAATGTGAGTAAAAATCACCAACCCACCCACCCCCTCTGCTGGTTTGGATCTAAGTTGTGTAGTCACATATGTCCTAGTGTATTGTTTGTACTGTGATTCTCTTTACAGCCAGTTGGTCCTTCAAAATAAAACAGACTGATATCACAGCATCTCCAGCTTTAAAGTTATAGCACAGATTCTCACAGTATCTAGTTCAGAGATCACGTCTGGGCTCTGAAGCGGACGAAGTCTTAGCAGCTAAATTAGTGTTAACAAGAGTCTTCAGACTGAGGAGTAGGAGAAATAAGAGTCTGTTCCCATTTGGGTAACCGCTAGTCACCCACATACAGGTTACACACTGGCCGCTTTGTTAGAGATCTAACTGGCACACAGTATGTAAGTATTCTGCCTGAGGATTATCATCTAGTAACGTGAGCATCTCCTACCTTTTGGGTGCCAATATTTATCAGTTGAGTTGTGCCACACAGCCGTTCAATGTCCTTGGCAGCAACTTCCATCATTTGTTTGATTTCTTGCCTCTTCTCTGGCCATGCCGACACACTTTGGATTGCAACCCATTGGGCCAGCCGCTATTTATAGATAAAGAGGGTTGAGTGGTTTTAAAGCATGTGTGTATAAACCAGATTACCTTTTGCAAGCTATTATGAGCACTTTAGAAGTGTATGAACAGAAAGTGTACCAAACCGCCCCCGATACTAATTTTGTTGTACAGTTTTGTGTTTTACAAGATTTGGGGTGACTGATTCTAGTCTTCTGTTTTAAGAGAGGTTCAGTAGTACATTATGGCAGTTACAATTGAAAAAGCTTTTGATACAACTGGCTTTTAACAACAACAACCACCCTCTCATCATGTACAGTAGCAAGAGGAGGAAAGTATTCAGTCTTTACTGACTTATTAAAAGGGTATAAGTGCATTATAGCATGGGCATGCCCTCCCTGCAGTCTAGGTCAGGGCTTTCTAACAATGGTGCTTTGTTTTACTATCTAGTGCCAGCTATAGTTATTTAAGTTTCCTAAAAGATTAGTTCTTGTCCTAACCACTAGAAATCTCAGGAATACAATCTTGGGCACATGTGGTGGTTACTCCTAGATCCTTATTGACACGACAGCCATGCAAAGTGTTCAAGTTTAAGCTCTATATTGAAGTTAAGTCTTTCCAGAATTTGATGAGAGAATGGCAATACAATTCTTTTAGTAATGTATGACGATCTAGCATGCACTTTCTACTGTTCTGATATTCCTAGAGCGCCTTTGACTTGTGTCTGACCACTATCCAATGAAATGTCTTATAATATAGTAAGATTTTCAGTTTCCCCACATGTAATGAAATAGATTAGATCGTTAGACTAGAGCGTCAGCACAGGACTGGAATCTAGGAATTACCAAATCCTAATCCTGTCCCTTAAACCAACTTCTTCTATACATTGCACAGCTCACTGAACATTTTCCCTATTGTAAGAACATTTATCTTATTAGTCTGTTAACTTCAGTTGCAATTTATGAAGCACTTTAATTAGCAAAATGTCTAAACTGCTAGACTGAGAGTTATATTGGAAAACAATGGGGCTTTTTTAGAGTAGTATCATTTTATCTTCAAAATTATGCTATTTACAGTCTCTTCAAACACAAAGTTACATGCCATTTAAATCACTTGAAAGCTAGCAGAACCAAGAAGATACAAATAATGAAGCTGACAGTCGCATCCATTGACATGCCTTTCAAATTTCATACAGCTCTATCTGTCCTATAATACAGGAGAATAAAGAGCTTTAATTCTTACCTCAACATACAGATCCTGGTGTTCATCAATGTACTGAAAAAGTTTTGGAAGGTCAGACATTTTCTGATCAGAATGTAGCTGTTGAAAACTCTAGGAGGAAAGAGAAGTAGTTCTGTATGATACAGCCAAGCTGACCAAGTAATTCAGAGAAGCCAATTTCCCCTTTAAAGTTTAACACTAGTGCTCCACCTCCTAGATTTGCACTGTTGCAGTTTCTAGTCAAGTCATGGGAGTCTGAGGACATCTGATGCAACTTGCTGTGTCAGTCTGGAGATCACATGACAGCAGAATACAGCTGCATGGAAGTGGTGTAAACTGAATTCTTAAAATACAATAAAGCAGTGACAAAATTGGTGACCAATACTATGAAAGTATCATTTATATTTCTGCAGAATGAATTTACACAATTGAATATGAGCAGTTGTATTTGAAGGTAGAGTAATTTGGCTTTAAATTGGCATATTGTTTTGTAAAGAGACAATTTAGTTACAATATGTAAATCTAACCCATTTTAGCCATAATTTGTAATTTTAATCTTAGTATTCTGTATTGGGTACTCTTTCCAAAAGTTGTATTTTAGAGGATTAGGCAAGCCACAAAATAGAAGGAATATGTTGCAAACTGAAATGCAGAACAGCACTGGGCAGTAATTTGAAGGGGAGGCCACTTCCTAAGTTTCGGACGTGGTCACAGGGCCCTGGGGCAGAAGGAACAGGGCCCTTAAATAGAAGGAGCTGAAAGGCCTCACATCTCCTCGGCAACTCCCAGGCAACATGTTAAGGGGAGAAGCCTGGAGCTGCACGCGCCAGATTAAAGGGTTAGGCTGACCGGATCTGGCTTGCTGACAGCCTCTTGCCCAGATCTAGAGGGTAGTAAGTGCTACTGTTTAGAAATATTGTTATCACTTACACTGCACCAACTCAACCCTTCCTGTACTCCTGCAAAGTACTAGCACACTTGTATTTAGTAGATATTCTTGTCAGTGCTTGCAACAGTTAAGGAGCAAGAAAATTTAGAAATTCAAAACACAATAAAAAACTATCCCTGGAAGGCTCAATGGTAGGTCAAGAATACGGCCAGCCCTCAACATTTTGGCACCTGAGACGGGGAGCTCAAATGACTCCCTTATGCCCCCTCACTTGGGCCAATTCTGCCTTCTTCCTGTTCTACTCTAGAGAAGAGAGAATACATAGGCACCAGCAGCAGACAATTTTCTACACTCTGGATCCTAGTGGCATGCTCCTTCTCCCCTCCCTCACACATTCTGGCACCTGTCGCCTCGGTTCACCTCACGGTAAGGCCAACCCTAGTCAAGACACAGTTATTTGGAGTCACTCAAAAGCAGTCTGTAAAGACTGACTGATCTCATCACACTACTGGGGAGGAGGTATGTCTACACTTTTCATTTAAAGCACAAAAAGGAACACACTGAAGCATGGAAAAAAAGACAGACTTTTACATATTCAAATAATATTGTTTATGTAATGCTTTTCACCTGAGCACTCAATATGGTTAATACTTAAGACTCTGTGGCAAGACATGGAACTTAAAGTCACTGAGTCTTGAGGGGAAATCTGAGATTGCATCAGAGCCCTGACTCTTTCAAGAGGGGCAGGAAAAGCCACAAATTCTGCAGTGACCACTTTTTCCATTTCATTCTGCAATCTAGCCCAAATAGCCTGGAGCTAAAGGAAGGAATGTTATCTACACAAGTATCTGCAACTCCTTCAGAACTTCCCTCTTGTTCAAACCATGAGCAAATCAATTTAGCCCATTAAATATCCCTAAGAAGCCACCAAGCCAAGGCAGTGATAGCAATACCCCTTCTCTCCAGATGTAGCCAGTGAGCCATCTAGACACAATTCATAGTGATTTTTCCCTTTGAAAAGGAAGTTAAATACAGACATTTATGTCAGTGATCTATGGTTGGAGTTTCAAAATTCAAAACACCCAACACAATAATAATGCTGATCTGTGGTTCGCACAGCCACACCTGTGAGTAAGTGGTTATGTCTGTGATGGAAAGATAGTATGTGTACAGTTAGGCAGTATAATGGTCTACATGGCAATTATATTTGAATAATCTGGCAAAAGAATAGATGTCTGTCCATCCCCAACCCATCATAAGAGGGAAGGTCCTTTCTTGGATTGAGAACTGGTTAAAAGACAGGAAACAAAGGGTAGGAATAAGTGGTAAATTTTCAGATGGAGAGGGGTAACTAGTGGTGTACTCCAAGGGTCAGTCCTGGGACCAATCCTTTTCAACTTATTCATAAATGATCTGGAGAAAGGGGTAAGCAGTGAGGTAGTAAAGTTTGCAGATGATACCAAACTGTTTAGGATAGTCAAGACAGAAGCAGACTGTGAGGGACTCCAAGAAGATCTCACCAAACTGAGTGACTGGGCAACAAAATGGCAAATGAAATTTAATGTGGATAAGTGTAAAGTAATGCACATCGGGAAAAATAACCCCAACTATACGTACAGTATGATGGGGGCTAATTTGGCTACAACAAATCAGGAAAGAGATCTTGGAGTTATCATGGACAGTTCTCTGAGAACTTCCATGCAGTGTGCAGCGGCGGTCAAAAGGGCAAATAGGATGCTAGGAATTATTAAGAAAGGGATAGAAAATAAGACCCAGAATATCTTACTGCCCCTGTATAAAACTATGGTACGCCCACATCTTGAATACTGTGTACAGATGTGGTCTCCTCACCTCAAAAAAGATATTTTGGCCTTGGAAAAGGTTCAGAAAAGGGCAACTAAAATGATTAGGGGTTTGGAACGGGTCCCATATGAAGAGAGGTTAAAGCGACTGGGACTTTTCAGTTTAGAAAAGAGGAGACTGAGGGGGGATATGATAAAGGTCTATAAAATCATGAGTGGTGTGGAGAGGGCTGATAAAGACAAGTTATTTATTAGTTCCCATAATAGAAGAACTAGAGGACACCAAATGAAATTAATGGGTAGCAGGTTTAAAACTAATAAGCAAAAGTTCTTCTTCACACAGCGTGTAGTCAACCTGTGGAACTCCTTGCCAGAGGAGGCGGTGAAGGCTAGGACTATAATAGAGTTTAAAGAGAAGCTGGATACATTCATGGAGGTTAGGTCCATAAAAGGCTATTAGCCAGGGGATAAAATGGTGTCCTTGGCCTCTGTCAGAGGCTCGAGAGAGATGTCAGGAGACAAATCGCTTGATCATTGTCTTCGGTCCACCCTCTCCGGGGCACCTGGTGCTGGCCACTGTCGGTAGACAGGATACTGGGCTAGATGGACCTTTGGTCTGACCCAGTACGGCCGTTCTTATGTTATGTTCTTATGTTTCAAGCCACACTTAGAAGTAATATCAGCTAATGCTAGCCTTCTGGATCAGTCCTGAAAGACCTATGCTTCTATTGAGGATGGACCTTAAGACTCCTTGCCCCTCAGACTGCCAAAGTTGACTTGCTAATTCTACTAAAAATGACATGGGCTGAATATTACAGAGACATTCATAAGGGAAACAAAGAAATAAGTTTAATGCTATGAAGTTATGTCACTAACTTCTCAAATTTCTTTGTGCATGACCACAGAGGTCACACCACTGGATAAGTCACCCCTTACTTCTCATAAGAGGAACTGTGGCTAGACTAAGAAAATGTGTTCCTCAGTGGATAGGACGGATATGCAGAGGACAGCACAGTTTGAGGCAATCTATTTAACAGCAGTTGCTCTAGGCTAAGGATGTTAAGAAGCGTGTAATCGTAGTGGATACAAATAGTATCCATTAATCTTACTGGCTAATAGGGACGATGCTACCCCCACTGCGGCTCTGCATTTTAAACATAGTAAGAGCAGGGCGTGCAAGCAGCCTAGCTCTTACTACACTTAAACTGCAGAGCCACAGTGAGGTAGCTCCTGGACCCAGCATAAGCCAGGACTGAGCCATGCTTGCTCAGTCCCAGCTCGCACCGGGGTCCAGCAGTCCCCGCGGACAGGGGTTGTTTCACCACAGCAGGTCCTGTATGCGGCAGGGGGTCCCAAATCCCTGCTAGGACCCCACAGACAGAGGCTGCTGCCAGCCTCTCCTGTGCCCCTGTACTGCTGCCTCTAGGATAAAAGCAGCAGGGGGGGAGGTGAGTGGCACCACAGAGAGTGCTGGGGGGGGGGGGGGAAGCGGATTTAAGCCCTTCCCTCCGCCCCCGCTGCCTGATAGAGAGGCAGCAAGTGGGAAGGATGAAGTGAGTAGTCAGCTAATCTTTTAAATCCCTTCTCTAGGCTAGCTGGAATCTTAGACCTATTCACAGCCAAAGTTGATAGCTTTTCTGCTATTTTATGTCACCACCTCTTTTGGTTTAGATGGAGGAACTGCCCTTTGATCCACAAATAATGCTTTGCAGAGATGACAGCCTACTGACCACTTTTCTGGAATGAAGAGCAGGAAAGCATCAAGGATGTGAAAATACATTTATTTTTGTAACACGTAGCCACTGAAATTTACAGTGGCTACACGTTTACACACAGGGGGCCAGGTGGGAGTGCCAACTCCTGCCTGCTCCCTCTTCCCCCCACTGCTGCCTCTGATACATTAGCAGGAGTGTGGGGGAAGGGAGGGGCAGGAAGGAGGGGAGAAGAGGAGAGAAGCATGTGGCTCCACAGAAGCCAATGCTCGCCTTAACCCTCCCCATACGTACTGGCTCCTTCCTACCCCCCTGCTACCTCTTTATCAGAGACAGAGAGGGAGGGAGAGGTGGCTGCATGAAACCATTAGGATTAACCAATGATCCCAGGTGTATCAGTTAATTGTGTAAACAGGTACATGTTCACATCCCTGGAAAGCATGAGCATCTTGACACTACAGACCCAAACATTTTCACAGCATATTGCCAGTTAATAAAGCAGGCCACAAAAAACAGAGGCGGCACAGGCATTCCCTGATATTTTAAGCCAGGTACGGGGAAGAAGAGCTGAAACTGGAGACAGAACTGAAGAAAGAGATAGTTAGCTACAAACACTATCAGTCACTGCTAGCCACAGGCCAAAGAATCAGGTATGGGGGCCAATGCTAGAGGGTAGGCCATGGAATTCTAGGATTTTCTCACCATTTTAACAGTTGTCAGGGTCTTGATATTTCAGATGCACAGGCTGAAGGACACAGCAGCCCCCCCATGCAAAATGGCAGCAGAGCCAAAATTAATTCTCCTGTGGGTAAGGGGCTATTAATTTAGTGGGGCCCTGTATACAAGTCTTTCTTCTAATTTATCACAATTATGTATCAAGGCTAATTTTGTTATATTAGCACTATACTAAACTTGCTTTTTAATAAACAAATAGCCATTTGTTTTAAAGTAACAAATTCTGTGGTTACTTTCCAGTTTTAAAATATACACACTATAGTTAAGTAGGCTATTCTGAACTAACTTATTTTAGAAGAGCTGTCATATTAATTTCTTTTTGGAAGAGAGTTTGGGTGTAGGAGGGGACTCACAAGTGTTGGGGTGCAGGAGAGAATGAGGGAGTATGGTGCAGAAAGCACTTATTACAGGGGCTCCTGGCCAGCAGCACTCAGGCAAATAGGTGGGGCCAGTGCTGGGGGCAGGGACAGCACACAGCACTGCTTCTCCATTCCCCACCTCCTGCTGCTTGCCAGAGAGCACACAGACATGCCAGGAGCTGGCCATTTCTGGGACTAGCATGGAGTCACAGCATACAGGCTGCCTGCCTAAGCCTTGCTGAACTTGTAGTAGGCTGGAGATTATTATCAGCCAACAGAGAATCCAAGATGCACCTGTCACTCGTGATCAATGGGTTAGCCACTACTGATGAACGAATTTATTTTTGCAAGACCGCCATAGCCTGGGGCCCTGAGCTGCAAGCCTTAACGCCCTGGTGTTAAATCTAGTCCTGAGTGACAAACACCTCCCGTCCAGTGTGGCCAGCATCCTCACCCACATCGAGAGCCCCCGGCTGCGAAAATTGAGAGGGGCTAGAAAAGCGGATTAAACTGTCAGGTCCCTGGTCTCAGAACAAGGAACGCTGAATTGGGGAAGGGAAAAGAACCTGCCTTGAGCCCATATATCCCAAAGGGATGCAGCTCAGAGCCCAGCGCTGCAGGGGGAATCCCCTCCCCTCCCGCCCGGCAAACACACGGAGCCCATATATCCCAAAGGGATGCAGGAGGAATCCCCTCCCCTCCCGCCCGGCAAACACACACACAGCCCCACCGCACGGTACTCACCAAGCGGAGTGGGGCCGGTTTCCACCTGCGAGGCCGCAGGCCGCCACGCAGCAGCGACCTGCAGCCGCGAGACAGGATCAGCGCTGCGGCCATGAGTGACACCGCTTCCGTTAGCTGCTGCAGCAGCAGCTTATTCCCAGCAGCGCCAGTGGCTGGGGGGAGGATTTCAGTGCCCCCTCCCCACCATCTGGCCGCTCAGGGGATCATGGGCTGGGGGAAGGGGGAGAAACAAACCGAGCCTCAGCAAACTTGGCCAGGCCAGGTGCAAAGTGACGAGCCTTCCCTCCACAGCCCCGAGCTACCCCCCCTCCCAGCCAACACAGACAGCGATGGGCGCCCCGGCAGGGAGCCACCACTCACCCGGAGCGACCTCCCCACGTGGCGCCGAGCCGTCCCCAGCAAAGCAAGAGCCCGCAGAACCTTGCGCCCAGCTGTAGTTTAAATCCCCCCGAGAGCCCGCCCCTTTGGAACACCGCGAGTCCCAATCACAGCCTCCGCTCTGCAGCGAAAGGACCAGGAACACGTCAGAAAGAAGGGGGCGTGGCTATCTTCGGGGCGGGGCAACGGGATTCTTGTGGAGCCCCGCGTTCGGGAGAAGAGGAGAGCGCTGGCCTGAGGCTGCGGCTCTCTAGCGACTCCTCTGGTGGAGTCGCGGTCCGGCAGCAACCCATCTCGCGGAGGGCACAGCCCGGGGATGGAGCCGATCCGGGAGAGCGGGAGGGAGGCGAATGCAAAGTAACGAGGAACCGGTGCAGCTTGTGCATAATCTGCCCCAGCCTTCCGTGCTGTTGAGGAACCGGTGCAGCTTGTCCCCTGTTGTGCATAATCTGCCCCAGCCTTCCGTGCTGTTGGACAAGGCCCCGCGATTGTCAACACCAAGTGTTCAGAAACCACAAATCAGTTAAAAATAATGAATTTCTTTAGAAATCCTGTGGATTTTTTTAAATGGCACATATGGGGCTCTTTTTATTTACCGACTGGGTTTTTAGTCTCTAAGAAGTGCGCAGTTCGTTTTTTGAAGCTTCTCTTCACAACCTTGAAGGCAAGTTTTGCAGTAAAGTTGGTTAATGTTGGTTACCTGAATATCTAAAAAGTCTGTTCCAAACATGGTGCTACAACCTGTTACTGGGCATCTTTCAGCCCTTCATTTTCAGCCTTGAGTATGAGCTAACATGAGATTCCATCATCTGCTACATTACAACAACACATATTTTGCCTTTATATAGTATTTCATCCACAGATCTTAGGGCACAATATCAAGGTGATAACGCAGAATCATCCCTATTTTACAGATAGGTAAATGATATAAGTGACTTGTTCAAGGTCACACATCAAATCTGGGGCACAAACAGAGAATTCATGTCTTTTAACCCTAGTTCAGTGTCACACCCATGCTGTTGAGTGTGTGTATGTGAGAAATATACTAATCTTTGTGGGTACTGGCCAAAGAGGAAGTGAACAATCCCAGGGCAGCCTGCATGTTTGTGAACTAAGTCCTGGTGGAAGGTGCTGGCTTGGCAGCCATGGAGCCTCAAGTTCTCATTTTATCAGTAAATAAGAACAGCATTGGTGCCTGTGCTGAAAAAAATCCCCAAGGTGCCTTACACTAGATCTCAACCTGACCCAGAGGCTCTCTTTCTAGGGGTTTTCATAACCAGGCTTTGGCCTCTGTGAAATTATCAATTTTGGCATCAATCCTGAAAATTGTTCAGTGTAGGTGGATCCCTGTGTCCCTGCAGAGATCCACTGAGCTCAGTCTGCACAAGCATAGAACTATGTGTGGAACAACTTGCAGGATTCGAAGGCAAATATGCCCATAAGTGACAAGATTGGACAAGTGACAATGGCAGTGTTATCTTATCATAGACAGCTTACCAAACTTTTTTTCACAGCAAGGAAATACCACCAGATTTTAAAATGGCCCTACGTTTCTAATGTATACTGATGCCAAAGAAAGAGTTAAATGCGAGTGTCTCAATTATATTATATTTATACAGAGAAACTGAGGTCTTGCCATACTGGATCAGATTAATGGCTCACTGAATCATAGCTTTTGTGTCCTCATCTTCTGCCACTTACATTGATAAATCAAAAGTCATTTCAATGAAATCAATGGAATTACACCAAAATAAGTATTGTCAGAATCAGACTTCCATCTCCAGGAGAGGCCTACACTTAATGATTCAGTGGGGGGGAGGGGGGGGGAGGGAATCAAACTGTCCTAAAATGCACATAGCCTATGGAGTAGAGAAGAATGAGAAGTGCAGTGGAAGACTGAGCAAGATAAGTGAGGCATCTGTCCCACGGAGAAAAACAAGGGAAGATAAGGAGGAAATGGTGAAATAGTGTATAGAGAAAAGTGCAAAGAGATGTAAACATAGAAATAGTGAGAAACTGAAGAAAAGAGGCAGAAAGCAGAGAAGAGAGGATGGTGATAAAAACTCATCCCATCAGACACAGTCTCTTGGGGGTCTAGGGCAGGGGGTTGTCTCTTAAGAAAAGCCAATTAAGTTCTCAGATGTCATGATCAGGAGTGCTGACCAGCACCCGGTGACTAAGAGATTAAACCAGGTACCTAGCAAAGGTGTGTGTGTGGGGGGGAGGTGTCGGGAGGTCAGCCAATAACCATGCAGGTAGGAATTTCAAACTGGAAAAGAGGGGTTTTTCCTCTCTCTTCTTTGTTTGAAATGAGAGCAGTTTCTCCCCGGGATTGAGGGAGATAAGGGACACTTTTCTTTCTAAGAATGAACTTCTTGAAATCTGTAAGTAAGGAAAAGTTTAGATAGTCTGTCAGGGTTTATTGTTTTCCTTGTTTGGGGGTTTGGAAATCATGTCTGAGCTGGCTAATTGTTTTTCTCTTTTGTAACTAAGGATTGTAGCCCAGGGACTTTCCCTGAGTATATATACATCAAATCGTGGCTCTTTCCACCTAGCCAATTTACTATGCTTGCAACAGTCATTTTGTTTTGATAATAAAAGAGTTTTCTTTTTATTCTAATTAACCAGTATTGGTTGACTGTTGTATCCTTAGGATTACGTGACTAGTTACAAGGGCAGAGTCCATTGTTGTCTGTGGATTCCCTCTGTTTCTCCCAACTCCAACCTATATGGAGGTTGGGAGAGGGAGCAGAGCTTTACCTTAGGGAGGGGATTCCCAAGTAACCCCTTCCCTGATTTCTGGGAAGCACATGGGTGGTGGCAGTGAAGAACCAGGCTTGTTTTTTTCTTTTTGGATCTCAGGGGGACTTAGATGGAATAAGTTTGTCTCTGGGAATCACAGAGATAAGGTTCTGCTGAGTTTATTCAGTTAGCCGGCCACCCAACTCTGTACGCATAGTGTCACATTGGGGGATTGAGCTGTGACAGATGTGCAGTAGAAAGAGACCAGGGCTTCATCTTATATGATGATCATCTGATAGCAAGAGGGACAAAATCTAGATTGTTGCATACAGTGTTCCCTCTAATTTTTTTCATCCATGTGCAGATTTTTTTCCAGCTGGTGAGGGCTGGTTGCAACTGGGTCCCTGCCCCCACACCACTCCTGTGCTGCCCTCTGCCATGTCAGCACAGGAATCGTGAATCTTTTATTTGGCCCATGGCTTGCATAGGCTGGTATCCCAGAGATTACACCTACAGGCAGATGCATTAGGCAGCTAGGGATGCTATACATGGAGGCAGGCACACTCCCAGTGGGACGTCCATGTGCCAGTTGTGTACTGCTGCCCCTCTCTCACTGTGCTGCCCCCTGTTCAGCCAGCACAGTGAGAAAGGGGCAGCAGGACACACCTGACACATGTATGTCCCACTGGGAGCGTGCCTGCCTCCATGTATAGCATCCCCAGCTGCCTAATGCATCTGCCTGTGGGTGTAATCTCTGGGATACTTGCCTATGCAAGCCACAGGCCAAATAAAAGATGCACGATGTAACACAGAATTCATTCATGAAAGTACAAATTGGCAAAGCAGGTTGTTTCCAAAAGCTGTATTTCCAGTTTACAAAAGCTCAAGTATGTAATATCAAAAATAGCCACTTGGTGGTCTCTTGCCCCTGCCATGAACATGTCTTTTTTAATATGCAAACCTCAACATTTATTTTTCATTCCTCCTAGTAGTAGAAGATATTCAAAACTCTCGAAATACATGGGCCAGATTCTTTAAGTTTAAAACACAACATAATAAAATGCAAGCTTCAGACTAGTCTAGTTATAAAAGTTACATTGGTATAATGAAATGGATTTAAAATCAGTCTAGTTACACAGGTACAAACCTGTAATATAAACACAGTTAAACTGGTCAGCACCTATGTAATTAGATTAGTTTAAAATTGAGATCAACAATGCAACTTTTCTACAATAGTCCAAGCCTTTAGAATCTTCCCTGCATGTGGGGCACATACGTCATACACTAGAATAGAAAAACAGAAGATTACCTTCCCTTACTCTCCTTCCCTTGTGCTGTAATATGCATCTAAAATTCTAAATACTTGATCCTGCCCTAAAATACCCATATGACTATCATGGAAATGTGAAAGAATCTGTGTGGGCTTGTCTACATTGGCCCCTTTTCCGGAAGGGGCATGGTAATTTTTGAAATCGCAATAGGGAAATGCGCGGGGGATTTAAATATCCCCCGCGGCATTTAAATAAAAATTCCTACTTCAAAGTAGGAATAAGATCCTCCGGAAAAGGGCGCTTTTTCCGGAGGATCGGGGCCAGTGTAGACGCTCTTTTCCGGCTTTTCTAAAAGCCGGAAAAAAGCGGCGGACATTTTTATTTAAATGCCGCGGGGGATATTTAAATCCCCCG